CGGCTGCTTGTACTTTTGCGGTCTCGCGCGCACTACACCTCGTATACACACTACGGTTCGTACCTCTGCATGGCGCTCATATATGGGGCCCATATAAAATTATGAATTGTGATTTTTGTCTCAAGCAGGGGGATGACTTCAATTAGCGTTGAATGGTTGGTGGGGTTGTATACGATATACATATGGTTGAGGTCCTGCACGATGAAAATGTTGTGCGGTCTTTGTTTGATAGGACCACCTTATAAGCAGATATCGAGGAGATACTACCTTCAGGACCAATGATTTTTATATTGATTAGCGAATAAGCCGAGTGTATTAAAAATCAGTAAATCGATATGATATGTTTATAGATAATTTTACTGCGAGACACAAGCAACGACAAAAATCATTGGCAAAAGGATAATTGTCAAGAACAATTTGTCACCAAAAATTGTACTGCGTAGCAACATTTATTTTGTTTATTGGCTCTAATAAATTTGTTATAAGGTATCGCCCCTATTTTCGATCAGTTAGGCCCTAATTTCGATCAAATTTAAATCAATTTTTTACATAGGATTGAAACTTGATATCTGATTTTGAATAATGTATTTCTGTTGAAGATATTCGATTCATTGAGCCAATAATTAAAAAAAATGTTCTTTCGTACAATTAAGTTGTTAATATTAATCATTGATCGAATATAGGGAGATGGTCAAAAATAGGGGCATATACCTTATAATGCGCCTGTAATTGAAGCAGCAAAACGCATACAGTTATTCACTTGAATGTCATTTTTCATTGTAGTAACTTTCAGGCGCGCTTCGCGCGCGTACATTTTTCAGTCAGTTTCGAAAAAGTTGCTATTTTGACCGTAGATGTCACTTTATTATGTTCCGACTGGAGTCACAAGTCAGTCGACCAATTAGAAGCCGAATAGATTGGCTTCACTTTTAGGGTCATCATTATTTTAAGAGAGGAACGCTATAACGCTATATATGAAAGAACAAATTGAACATATTTTTGAATTTCAAGCATCCACCCATAATCATTTGAAATGTAATGATGCGACCTATCGTGCTGTGTGAGTTAAAAAATAAGCAAAGATACGACGTGACAAAGATGCGACACTATACTCATTTAACATGCGGGATGTACACCGATATTCGGGAGCCTTGCGTGGTCTATGCTATATGCGTGCGCGCATATGTACCAGGCGCCGACAGCACAGTCGTGCACTGCATAAAAATCATCCTCTAAATTACGCGCTACACAACGAGATGACGCGACATGACGAGAAGGGAAATTTCGAATACGTTTATGCAAATAGCGTCAAACGACTCATTAGAAAACAAAAATAATGACCGAGAGACCATCGAATATATATTTTATAAATAAGGCAAACATATGCTTGACGCCGGTTACATATAAATTGGCAAATTTCGATAAATGACTGCGAACAAGTACCATTACGAACCTCTGATTGTAACTCTGAGTACACGGAACGTATTATAAAGAACAAATACAAATTTACTACAAGGTGGGTAGGGAGTGATAAAATCTTTGCATCGAGTTGATCGATACAAACTAATTATTTGTGCGTAGCATGTGTCGATTGGAGTGACATAATAAATCTCGATACATACAACATATTTTGAAATTTACAGATATCAGTATAAAATATCACAAATTTTCCAGTCATATGGAGGAACTATTTGTCATAGCGCACTCACATAACATTCACGATGGACATGGTCATCATCTTTTGGTCATTTGCTACGTGAATTCTCAATATTATTGCGCGATATACGAGGATAGTCGTTAAATGGAAAATATATGGCAAATAAAGCGTACTGTTTTTGCATACAGCTGTATGAAATATTTATTGGTTAACTAAATGAGCTCCTTTTATTTTTATTTCTCGTATCGGTCGTCGCGCTGTTGCGCTAACCGTATACTCCACGGGCGTTCTGTACGCTCATGCGCGTGCAATATGTACTCATACAGATACACACAGCCGCGTGCTCACAGACACACACACACACACACACACACACACACACACACACACACACACACACATACTGGTACATTTCAGTACAGTGAGCCGCTAAAATGGCGACAGCAGAGTGTCGTTTAAATGTGAAATTCGCTCGATGTCTCGTATAACTGCCATGCTGTGTAGATGCAGGGGGAGTTGATAATGCATAAAACCGTGATAAAATAAAGAAAAATGAAATTATAATTACCTGCATGCAGTTTCGCTTGATTGTACATACTTCTGCGTATGCACTGTACATCTTTGGATCGTAAAAATATAATATAATTGTTTGAAATAAAATTCATAAAAAATATTCTATTCAAAGAAACATTTTATTAAATATAAATGAATGAATAGATTCAGATGGAAATGAAACTGTAAGCTGAATAATTTCGTAAAATCAAAACAAAACAGTTTTTCATGTAAAAATTTACGCCTTATTAAAGAAATAAGATAAGTGCTGAGAGGTAAGATTAAAAAATTCAGCAGTTTTCTAGGTATTATAATGGTTTTTTATATATTTGAAATCGCCACTTCGTAAAAATAGCAGTATGTATGAAAGCATTATATTTTTGAACATTAGTTTATTCGCTTATGTTATTGTTATGATTATAAACAGTATCTAATTTTATAGATATTTTTATTGGTGATGATTTTAATATTTTCTGCTTTTTAAATTGAAGTCAATACCTCAGTTTGACTTTTATTATAGAAAATAATCAAGCAATGTTTAAGATGAAGTGTAAAATGGATCCATTTGATTATCTTATATGTTGCTTTGAAACAATGAATTTAAAAGACATTATTATAAAAAATGTTAAATTTTAAGTATGACTTTTTTTTCTATACTTCATTTCTTTTGAGGTGGAATGTTTTTTTCTAGGAAAATTGCAATGTACAATTTATAATTTATTCAGTCCTCTGTGCCAATGAATACTCGAAAAACATTTATCTATCGAAATTTCCCCTAACTGAACAAAGAGAAGGATGTTTTATATATTTCATTATAATTTTGATTTTTACTGGTGTGCATTATTTAACCTTAATCTCGTTTTTTTCTAACACGCATGCATGTAAAGTTCAATAATAATTTTACACAAAAGAATTGTACTTTAATAAATATAAGAAAAATTAAATTTATAATTCAAACGTGAAGCAAAAATGAAAAAAAATTAGGTTAGAAGATGTTATTTATGATCAATTATTAAAGTGCAATGATTTAAGGACAATTAATTGAATGAATAATAAAAAATTAAACTTGAAATGCTCGATTACTTGGTTGATTCGGGCAAAAAAGTTTTGATTTAGCTCAATGCGTTTGATTTTTGGATTTCGTCGATGAAATTTTTTATAGGAAATGGGCAGGGGAAAAATAATATGTGTACATGGTATTTATGTAAAAAAGGTGCAAAAATAAATGAAAACAGTTTGTTATTGTTTGAATATGATATATAATGTTATATACACTCGAAATATAATACATTTATTCTTTACACAAATTTCTGATCATATGTATAAATACTTTTTACAATCGTATACTATATATTTCAGTAATGATCATTCGCGGTGCAGTTTGACATTATTCGCTATCATTACACCTTATTTTTTAACGTACGCATATTTGCATATATTTTCATTCTCTCACTCATGCAGAAACAGACGCTAATCGCAAATTTTAACTATTTAACTATAAATATATTCATATTTATTATATATAATATATTGTATACTCGCACGGTTATTCCTTGTGCGTTTATTATCACAGTGGTTATTTGAGGAGAACGAGTCTGCCCCGTATGCTCGTCAACGAATCACTGAGCGCATTTCTTTTTTTCTCTTTTTCTACATTATTAACTCTCTACTTGGACGATAAAATTCATGTTGCTGCAATGTTGCAAATAAAGACGTCAACCGGCCAAAATTTTGAGAAAAAAAGAAACGACGTAATTCTCGTTGTCTTTCGTAATATATTTAATATTATTTGCACTTGTGGAAAGCGCGAGCGAGCTAATATGCTCGCACAGAAACGTGTACGCCGTTGAAAATTTTGATATCGTCCTCGATATTCTTATCTTAAGTAATCGAAGTTGAATTGTCGAACATTTTTGATATCGGTCTAGACGTCGGCGTGCAAGAGCACAGACTTTAGCGTTCGAGTCGCAAATAAAAAAATTTTTCTCAACAACCGTCATAATGATTATCGCATTATGTGGTAACTATTAAATATAACCCTATACTTCAGACTTTTTCCATTTCAATGAAAAAATCTAAAAAGCAGTATATTCGAAAGGAGCATTGTTACGACATTAAATAGACTAAATTACAATATTTACAGAATTCAAAGTACATACACTTAACGTGAGTGTATGTACGCATATATAAAATGCCGCAGTGCAGTTAATAAAATACTAAAAATAAATAGTGAAACAGGGACTCTCGCGCAGTTTTGAACTCGCACCGATGATCGAGATTCTCTTGTTTTTTAATCATCTCTTCAGCTATGAACGAGGATCTCCGCAAGATACGAGGAGATCAATAATCGCTTTGTTACCGTCGGATTGTGCAAGGAGATTGGGTTTAATTCAACAAAAAAATGTACAGAATAAAAAACGAGCAAATGAGTATTGATGAAAATGTGTTGAGCCAATCTCTTTGCCACATGAACGTAATTGCGAAAATTTGGCTAACAGGCCTTATGATTCGGACTTATCGTTATGTACATTAAAACCATCAATAAAACAAAATACTTGTACAAACTTTAAACAATCACATGAACGACGGTGTATGCAGTCACCAGCTTTACATTTCATAAAACTTTAAATTGAGTACAAGTATTGCATCTGATTGATGCCAAGTTTAGGAAAAAAGATGTGCACTAACATTGAATTTTTACAATGATTACGCTCAAGAAATAATCATTTCACATCTTATTTCAAGTAATTGCTGTGAATAATAATATATCGTATTATGTAATAGTGCTTACATATGCGGTATTGGCGGTATGACTTGATGCTGTCCCATTGCATCTACCCCTGCGTTGCTATAGTAATTATGTTGATCGATCATATTTTGAGCCGGGTTCTCGATCATCATATTAAACATCTGAGCCAGTTCCGATGTGGGTTGCTGCTGCTGGTGCTGTTGATGTTGCTGCAGCTGCTGCAATTGCTGATGCTGATGGTGCGATTGTTGGTGTGTGGGCTGAACAGACTGTTGGTTCATGAACTGTGAATTGTCCCTGGGTTTCGACGGCGCCGACGCCGAGGGGCCCGTGGGACTCGGCGTTACACCGACGCTACCCGGGCTGGTGGGCTCGCTCTTAATGCTGCTGCCCGACGGACTATTGTTCGAGGACATTTGCGATCCGGCTTGTACCTGACTGTACGGCGACGGTGATCCGCCCTGGACGTTGCTCGTTGGCTGCCCGTAAGCGTTACACGCGAATCCGTTGATGTAGGCGTTTATCTGCGAAGGCGGATTGCCCGATGCCAGTGGGTGCTGCATGTCGTAGCGGCTGGAGTACGAAGCCGCCGCGGCAGCGGCGCTCAAATGTCCGTAATGCGGCTGGTACGGGGTCGCTGGATCGTTGAGAATACCGTAGCTGTTTGGCAAATAGCCGTTCGACATGTTGTAACAATTTTCGCGCGAGATCGGAGCTTGTTGAGAACTCGTATTGTTGGCGACCTGACGCTGGTCTAAGATGCCACCGACGCTCGCGCTTCCTCCCAATTGAAACTTGTCCTTCTTCATGAGGGTCTTTGTTTTTCTGCGTGGCCTGTACTTGTAATCGGGATGCTCCTTCATGTGAACAGCCCGCAATCGCTTGGCCTCGTCGATGAACGGCCTCTTCTCGTTTTCCGTCAACAACTTCCACTCGGCTCCCAAACGCTTCGAGATTTCCGAATTGTGCATTTTCGGATTTTCTTGAGCCATCTTGCGCCTTTGGCCTCGTGACCATACCATGAACGCATTCATGGGCCTCTTGACCCGATCGATATTGTTGTTTTTGCTCGTGTTATTGTTATTGTTTGGAGCATGCTGTGTTTGTGTTTGGTTGTTGTGCGACTGTGGCGACTGATGATGGTGCTGAGGCTGTTGCTGTTGCTGCTGCTGCTGCTGCTGCTGCTGCGATTGCGGAGCGGCGTTATGCAAATTTAAACTCATCAGATTTTGAGACATATTTTGCTGATGCGACGTTTGCTGTTGCTGCTGCGATTGCATCGACGCGTAGTGATTCTGCATCGACTGATGATGATGATTCACATTTGAAATAGAGAGATTGTTCATATTAGGCGGGCTCCCCGATAACGTAGGGCTATGCATGAGAGAACCAAGGGGTGCATACGGAGAAACTGAATGATGGCCCATCGGCGAGACTCCCTGATGAGGATGAGGGGGTATGTTGGCGTGGAGACCCTTCATGTCAGATTCCATAGTCAGCATATTATCCACTGTGAGGGTACGCTGTAAAAATGCACCACAACGATTAATTTGTACACTTTTAGCTCACGTCCTGGTGCAACAAACTTCGCGCTTTCTCGTTGCTAAATATCAAGTTTAACTATCTTTCAACTGTCACTTGAACTTGCCAACGTGCAGAGTCCTGCGTTCGAGACATCAAGTCCGAATCTCGATTAGCTAAGACAACACACCTTATGCACAAATATTCACTAAAATGCACAATTTTTCGTTTTGAATAGTCGGTACAAACGCGACAGTTCTCCACAAGCTAGGGTCGCTCACTCGGTGATTGTATACACTGCTTGTTCACAGACATAAACACCGTATCGAGGAGACGCAAACGAAACAAGCGGTACGTCTGGTCGCTGAATTGTCTTGGGCAAAACTGGTACACACTGAAACTCGCGGTAAGCTGGCACCCTCCACTACTGCAGACGAGGTCTCGATGAGATCTTTCCCCTCTACTGCGATTTCCCGCTATTGGTAGATGCGTGTATCCAATGAATGGCAGCACAGGCGCGCGCTATTTCGAATATCTTTGATCACGCGTTCCTCGATAACAACAATTCATTACGCACTGTATTATCACCGCTCGATACGTCAAGTCAAAAATAAGCAGAATTCTTTATTGACGAGTTCGTCGGAGATTTACACACGCGCACTGAGTACACACACTGGGAACAAAAACGTGACGAAAGGTGAGTATCGACGGCAAACTGCTCGACGCTGCCTATCGTACTTTGGCTCCTTTCTGTTGAGCGAACGAGACTCGAATGTGCTGTCCACTACTATAGCTGCAACGCGCCTCGTAACAGGCATCGCGCACGACCCCACTTTCCTCGCGGTGGGATCTATTGGAGAACGGGCAGATCGATTGGCTGCGCGCGCCTACCGTCGCTGCTGCAAGCCAATAACGCCACGAGTGTTTGATGGGCGGGGCCACGATCCCCGCCACTGCAGCTGGCGGTGCCTGCTCGCCGATGCCGTCTCGAGCCCTGGCTTACAAACATGACATCTAGCGGTCGACTCTAGCACTTTTTACAACCAACAATGAGATACAAAACAACATTTTTTTATGTAATATTTGATTCATTTAAACAAACAAGGTGTTAAATTGTTTGTTTTTATACAAATGTCAAGTGATTACGACTTTTCGTCTATTTTTTTTATGCACATATGCACTCGATAGACTCGATAAGACATTTGTTTTTCTTAATTACTCATAAATAATGAGTGATTTGCATCACAAAGGTTCTATCAATTCCATACAAGCCCCTTCTAATTGATCTTTCAAAGTAGTTACAGATGTAGAATTTATATATATGTATTATAAATATATTATATATACGCAGTGCATTCTCCACAAAAATCCGCATTTGGCTTTTGTGTTGAACAGTAGAAAAGAAAACGAAAGTAGGACCTGTTGCGGAGTACATACGTGTCGCTCCGTGCAATAATGGAAGAATGCTGAGTCGTAGATAATCGTGTATGTGTACATATAGCTCCGCCAAGTGGCGCATTCGCGGGGTAGCTATATATGTTGATGGCTGCCTATGTACATACACATCGTGTACTCGTACACGTACGTACATGCACGTGTACATACATAAACGCGTCCAGACTGATGTACGTAGGTATGCATACACACACACACACACACACACACGCACATAAGCTAAAAAAGACGCAAGATCGAGCAACAATCGGCATCGCGCGCTGTACAATATTTTTGCCGAGAAGGGTGCGCGAGAAAGAAAAAAGAATCTGTACACATGTACGTATAGTATATATATTATGTCGTGCGAATTTTCGATTCGTTTTTCGAGCGCATGCATTTGAGCGCCATCTCGAGTGCGGAGACGGAGGGTCCGTTAAAAAAATACATGTCCTGTTTTGAGCGTTCGTTTTTGAATTTTTATATATTTTTTACTCTTTTCCACTCTTTTGTTGGTTTAAACAGCCAAACAAAATTGAAACGTATCAATATAACGGTTATATTAAATAATTGTAATCACGATAATGACCAGGAACCAATTTACGACAAAAATTACAATGATAAATTTGATAAATAAATATCGAAAGGAAAGGCGAATAGGAATAAACTGATAAAATTTCGGCCATATCATCCTGTGTGATTGCCCTGCACGCTGAACACTGTTCATGTGTGTACATGTTCCTTTACTGCACACATCTGTATTATCGAGTCGAGCCTGTACATTATAGCTCTTTGTACAACGGTTACATGAAAGCTTTTGAATGCGAATGATGTTATGCATCGTATACTAGTGCTCGAGTAAGCGCCTATATATATGTATATATTTATGCTGCTTTCGAATTTTTTCGATTCGGATTTTTGCGGATTTGCCAGAGAGGCAAACCATTATAGTAACTTCAAAGAGGATATACAGACATCGAAGCAGACCCACGTCAAAATGATGTTCGATGACCGAGCGATCAGCCTTTTAGTAATCATTAGATGGTCAGCTGAAATGTTCATATGAACAGGGGGTACTTTTGGCTGCGTTCACTTTTATAAATCATTTGAAGTTGTTTGAGGCTGCATGAGTTTTTGTGTGCATGAGCACGCCATTTCATTTTCGATGGAACTCACTTTATAGTACAATCTTGATTTTCAGTTTTATAAATTAGCAAATTACGTATAAAATTATTTTAAAGCTCGAACATAAAGGGTCAGGAGCGAAAAAAACAGTTGATTATAAGGACGAACGACTTACTTATGCGCATACATTAAGGTACCGTATGGGAGTGATCTGGACTTCAATTTCAAGGAATGAATCGGCAAGTTTTGCCGTTCGATTGCAAGTTAATCGATGTAATGCACATCCAGTGCCAGAGCGCAAATCAATCTCTCGCACAACGCTCGACTTTCTCTCCTTGCCTTATAATACGTAGAATTGCGACACATTTTTAATACGTACGTTCGTACGTGAGATATACGTACATAATACGCGTTCGCCTGAGCTAAACGTTATTTCATTATTGACTTTTGCAGACTCACCGTAACCCATTGGCAATACGCGCTCGACTGCAGATTTGCGTATGACGAGTTAATGTCTCGGTGGTTTTGCGCGCTCGTGATAATTTTTTTCATTCCAACCTTCTATTGTTTCGCATCACTTTTGGCTGTTCCGCGAGAAGCATTGGCTTGAAATAATCACAGACTACCTAGTTGATGGAGTCGGGATTGATGGGAACTGCGCTGCCTTCTCTTCACCCCGCATTTTTCGTTTACTTTTTTCGAAGAGTCGGTGATGTCGAAAGTAAAAAGTATATGCATTTCTGATGACCATTAATCTGGAACAACCCACCTGGCAGCAGTGGCCAGACAAGAATCCCCCTGTTTCCACCTACCCTACATCATTGCCCGTTAACTTCTAAGCGAATTAATTTACAGCTCGTGCCGCGCTCTTAGGTCATGCTCATCATACACGTATGCATGCCAGCGAGAGGATCTTGTAACACACGCACACATACGCGTGATCGCACATGCACGTAGTCGCACAGTACGTAAGAAGGTTTGAACCTCGTTCGGTCGGCATACGAGAGTGAGTGAGAAAGAGAGAGAGAGTAAAAAGCTGACAAGGGCGACAACACAAGAGTGTATGTTATATAAATGTATGAAGAGAAGCTTGTTCGCTGCGATGACAGACGCGAAAGTGGCGTGACAGCTGTGTCGAGGTTTTAGCTCGGCTCGCCACCTCGCCATCTCCTTCTTCGCTCTTTGACCGTATATGTATAGGTACTTGGCCTCGAACTTAGGGCTCGGTCCTACCTCTACCAGTTAGTAAGTTAAAGTCATATCAATCTCATTTATGCCAATTTTGAGCTACAGCCACTGATGCCGTTGCCGCCGCTACCGCTGTTGCTACCACTGCTACCGCTGCTGCTGCAGCGCACCCTTAGCAAAGGCATCAGTAAGTCTCAAGAGCTCATGAAGCTCACGAGATTTTCATGACAATCGCTCGCCTTCTTACACGGTTATGGGGTGATGCATGCTCATGTCCAGAGTCTACGTGTCGCTTCATGAGGTGTATGCAAATGTCTCGGTTTGACGCGTTGGTCAGAGTGAACATGTATCTATTTATGTATTGCTTTCGGACGTCGAAAGGATGATAACCCCGTTAGAGGAGAAGTGCGACATAGGCTTAAGTGGTCCTGACGTTTCGGCGTTTCGAAGCAGCTGCCTGAGATACGTTCATAAATATACGCACGCTCGTGTAAACGTATTTAACGCACCAGAGCCAAAGAAACTCATTGCCACTAACTCTACTCGTCGCACTCACATTATACACCTGCACCGTGTAAGAGCGCATGTATATATGTATCCACTCGTTCTATTAAACCGTATCGTTCGTACGGCGTTATATGGTAAACTCTAGTTGACAACCATAGTAGGCATGATCATTGCTTCTTTATTAGCTGCCACAGTTTTGTCTCTTGATACATGCGTAAAATTGGTAATTACACTTGTTTTATCGTCAATTTGAATCGATCTGGCGCGAGCCACGAATGAAAACAAGTTATTTTGATAAGTCAAACATTGATTAGGTAAGATTTTTTATTTTGATACAAATCAGATGAAAACAGAAATTTAAATATTTAATTCCGAACAAATAGAAAATCATGTTCACACTTCCGGAGGTAAAAGAGAATGAAATAAATTAAAATTACACGTCGATGACGTATAGATTAATCTAACTTTCACTACCATCATCGTAGAATAAAATTCATTTTAGTCTACCGATGGATCCATAACAAAATTCTGAATGATCTTATCCTCTTCATTAAAGTCAATCGATTGTCACGTGTCCACGTTAATAATATGCAAACCACAAAATATTTTTTGAACATTTACGCCACAAAAAATACAGTTAAATTCCGCATGCGTGCGAGATCTATTGCTCAGGCGCGTGAGTGCATCGACACCTTATAAATACGACAACGGCTTTAATTCGTATACTTGTGTAAGCCAGCTCAGAAAATTAAACATGTATGCTCCCTAGTTTTTTCTTCCATGTATTGCATAGATTTAATGCGCAAAGTACACGGGTGAACTTTTAAAATATGCCACTGTACTGTGAGCCTAGCGTCCAGGCCAACACGACTCGTGATTCCAAAGAACAAACTACGTCATCGTGAAGGAGATTGAATACGCCTAGAATAAAAATACTGGAAAAAGAGAAGCGACTTGACCCTTCTTTTTTGCGTACTTTTTACCTGTCACCGCGTTGATGATTCGTGACATACACGTACGTGCGTCAATGTGTGACTGTAAGAAACCCCTTGTCGTGAAATGCATCCAAGTAAAACGAGATCCATGCGCCTCAAGCTTTGGCTAAGGACGATTCATATTTTAATTAGAACATCTTTTTGCACTTTATTGGTCCTTACATACATATACATATGTACATCTAGTTTACTTTGACTCGTCACTAAAGTTGCTGCTTTCGTATACAAACATACGTATATACATTGAGAACAAGCGACGGCGGGGAGGAAAAAAGATAGAAAAACTACAACGCTAAACTGAAGAGTCAGGATTATGCGCTTACGCTTACTCGCGCGCGCGAATCCGTAAAAATAAAAGACGAAAAAAACTAAATACAAATTAAAAGACTGACGTTTAAAATGCGCGTTTTTCTGCTATGCTACGTGTGAGTACAATGCGTTGTTTACTTAACACGATTTAATTCAGTTGATTTTATTTTAAAAAGTCTAAAAACTAAAAAA